AGACAAATGCTGGGCTACTGTTTGGGACCTGTCTACAGGCATTCATTAGTTTTCATGTCATCACCATCATGTCAGATGTGACCTTATTGGGATTTTAACCTTCATTTTCAAGCGCTGTCATTTTGTCAAAAATGATATGTTTTTGACGCCAAGTGTGATGTGTCAAAATATTAATTTTGCCAGAACGACTCCGAAGATATGTTTCTACCATATTCGGTTGTATAAATGAATAATCATATGATAATCATTCACATAATTGAATGAACAATTGATATAACCTTCGATTCTACTACCAAATAATCACACTTGATGATCACGTGATATATGCCATCAGATGGCACATTGCTTAGCATTAAAACACAATACTGAAGTTCTTTCATCGTCATTTTACATAGCAATGTCCTTGTCACTACTTGAAATATTTTTTTTTATTAAACCATTTTAGCATACATATTAATAAATACATCTAGCATTTTGTTCCTAATCAGCAACATGCTGGTGACGGAACATTATAATTGACATATGATTCAATAACAATTTCTGTAGTTACCATAATATACATTAGTATACATTAATATACTTATACACAAACAACAACAATTACAATCTCAAGTATATCATAGTACAGTAGTTTGTTGATTCATGTGCTGAATCAAGTTTATTTTAAATGAAGAATAGCTATGTATATTTTTCACAGGATTTGGCAAAGAGTTGAAAGTTTCTAGACATTTGTATATAGGATTATTTAGTGCCAAGTTTGTTCTTACATTTGATAGGTAAAAATTATTTTGATTTCTAGTCTCATATGTGTGAGTTTCGTTAACTAAGTTGAATTTAGTATTACATTTTTGTTAATTTTTTTGTATTTTGTAAGTGTATTTGCATTGTTCTATTTGTAATATTTGTTCCAAGGGCATTATTCCTGTTTCTTTATATATTTTCTCTGTATGTGTTCTGTAGCTATATCCAAATAAAAATTTCACAACCTTATTTTGAAGAGTCTGTATTTTCTTAAATTGTGTTGGTCGACATATACCCCAGGTTGTTATGAGATAGCGAAAAACTGACAGAAAGTATGCATTGTAAATCATAAGCTTATTTTGAGTATTCAGATAGCTACCACATCTATACAAAGCCCCAATCATAGGGACTACCTTTTTTGAAATATGATTTGAGTGATCCTGCCAGTTCAGCTTATTATCTATAACCAGTCCTAGATATTTGGTGTATTGGACTATATTTATTTCTTGGGAACCAATTTTTATTGACAAATCACGGGTTTCCATATTTTTGTTTTTGAACAACATAAAAATAGTTTTATTAATATTTATTTTAAGTTTATTACTTAGAAGCCACTCGGCATACAGTTTTAAATCATTATTCACCAACTGTTCCAATTCAGTTAGGTTATTTCCTTCATAGACAAGGACAGTGTCGTCTGCAAATATATAGTAGAGAGCTTTCAATTTGGCTTTTTTAAGGTTTAGTGTATGTAAAGAATACAACATAGGCCCTAAGACTGACCCTTGTGGGACTCCACAGGTAACATTTTTTAGTGCACTGTTGACTTTATCTAGTGACACATACTGTTTTAGGTCTCGTAAATATGTTTCTAGAAGATCTGCACATTTACCTCTTATTCCCAGTAAGTTGAGCTTATTTATTAACATTTCATGGTCAACTACATCAAATGCCTTTTGTAAGTCGACAAATATCATTATGACATATTTTTTGTTATCTAGATTGGTTATAACATGGTTCAAAAAGTCCATTGTGTGGACTAAATATACTGAATAAATATACTGAATAACTCAAGAAATAACTTCAACATTTATATATTCCTACAAAATTATATTATTCACTCAATTATTTATTCATTGACACCAATATACAAAACTGGAGATAAAGAAAATATTTCAAATTATCGGGGTGTTGCAATCCAATCTGAGATACCCAAATTGTTTGATAAACTCATCTCCGTACAGCTAAAGTGGTCCTCTAGACATATCATTATTCCAGAACAGGCTTCCACTCGGGAAGATCGACAGTTACAAATTTGATGATATATCAATCTAATATTTTAAATGCATTTGAAAATCATGTTCAGGTTGATAGTGTTTACACTGATTTCACAAAAGCTTTTGATAGAGTTGAACACACATTATTAATTGCTAAGTTGAAAGCACTTGGAATTGGCAGTCAAGCCCTAACATGGATAAATAGCTTTCTGATTGAAAGAGTTCAATGTGTTAGAATTAATAACTTCATTTCAAATGCTATTGAGGTTTCTTCTGGTGTCCCTCAAGGTTCCCATTGTGGTCCAATTCTGTTCAGCCTGTTTGTCAATGATTTAAATGAAGTGTTACAAAATTCAAAATATTTGGTGTTTGCTGACGATGTAAAAATCTACAAAACAATATCAAATATCAATCATTACAATGAGCTTCAGAATGACATTGACAATTTTTGTAATTGGGCTGATCTGACTGCACTGTGTCTGAACGTTAACAAATGTTTCTGCATAACATTCTCTAGATCCAACTCTCCACTTACATTTGATTATAAAATAAAAGATGAATCGTTGCTTCACGTCGCTGAAATCAAAGACTTAGGCATTTTGATTGATAATAAAATGACCTTTAAACAACATATTTTGAAAGTAGCTACTATTGGCTATAGAAATCTTGGATTTGTTATGAGAAACACAAAGGATATGTCAGTTAATAGTTTAAAATTATTATACTGTGCACTTGTTAGGTCAGGCTTAGAATATGCTTCTGTGATATGGTGTCCTAACTACAGTGTTGATATCGGGACAATTGAAGGAATACAGATAAAATTCCTCAGGCATTATGCTTTCAGACTGGGAATGAATTGGAATCATGATTATGACAACATTCAAAATAGCACAGGTTTGGAAACTTTAGAAAAACGTAGGTTCAACACAGACTTGCTCTTTTTATATAAATTGTTGAATGGTATCATTGACTGTCCCGAACTTGTATCCGAAATTCAGCTAAGTACAAACAGTAGGACTAGAAGCAAAGCACTATTTTACATTAACCATCATTCCACAAATTATGGCATGCATAGCCCTCTCTCAAGGATACCAAGGGAATACAACAATAATTGTATACATTTCGACATTTTCAGTAATTCGTTTCAGTTATTCAAGAAGTACCCCTTTATAAGCAGCTGTGTTTGATTACTGTGATATAGATTCATAATGATCTAGGATATATAGCAACTGTGAGTGGAAACTGTGATAGATTCATACTGATTTAGGATATTCTCTTGTTATTTATGTTTATTTGTATTTGTTGAATATTTACATAGGTACATATTTTTTCCCATCTTGTAATAATATTTGTGATTATAATGTATGCAATGGATAACCGTAAATAAAGTTCTATTCTATTCTAAATCTCTAAAATATACTCATAAATAAAAAATGATACTAAGCAACAACCAAGGCAACAACACAATACTCTCCTGATTTAGAAATTGAATTATTCTATACATTGTAGAAATTTAAAGATTCAATAATTCACAGTTCACTCATGGAGCATGTTGAAAAATAAATCAGCTATATCTCCATAGTAGTTTGAGAAAACCCTAGGGAAAACCCCATCAAACTTGGTATTATTGGATTTGAAATCATAATCACTAAAAGATCATGGAATAAAATAATATCATAATACATTTGAAAATCAAAAGTTGATGCCGCTTCACTTCAAGCTTCCAACTTTGGGATATTATAATTACAGAAAAACAGAAAAATGTGTCCATGCCCAATTGAAATCAACCCATCTGAGCAGTTTTTCATAAATGAGGGCTAATATGCATGATTGATTCTATTTTATTTTTATTGTATATATAGTATGTATGTAGTGATGCTGTTTGACATATTTCTGTGTTTTATGTACAATGTATTAGTTTTTTATGACTAAATAAACGATATATATAACATTTCTTATTGTCCACCAAACAGCACCACCAAAACATTCTTATTTTCATGTCATCAGGCCTTTTGCTATGATAAGAAATGGTGATAAAGTTCCACATTCTCAGTTTTCTATTTGTTCAAATATTCCACACCATTCTATACAAATATTTTCAATGAAATAGGCCATAGCTTTTCAGGCTATCCAGCAAAATCTTGGGATTTTTGACTTTGACATTGACCTCATGTTTTAGTAGCAGCAACTGGTGAGAGTGAAAATGTAAGCACTCATTGCAAACAATGGAAAAAACTTGGATGGAATGTTTATTGATATCTCTGAAAAATTATTGTAGATAGTACTAGAGTCAAGTAGAATAGGCATTTTTATGCTGAATCAATGGTGAAAAATTCAGGTAGGGTGGTTGGTCTGAAGTGTAATGCAGGGTAGGTATATGGGATAATGGCAAATATTGCTTGTTATCATTTGACTCAGATGACCAACAGCCATACATTTCATTTTCCCAGGAACTTGATGAATGTGCTCTCTTCCATATTCATTTTTTTCAGATTGAAAACATTCAAGATTTATTTAATATACATATTCATGAATAAAATCAATATTATGATGACAGTAGTGGTTTTCCAGGAAAGAAAAAAATACAGGATAGAGTTTTGAAAGGAGGGGGCTTTTTGGCACAGCTAATAAGCAAGTATAATACCTAATCACTGCTTTCAACTGTGACCTAATCAAGAAGAACATATGGAGCTCAATATAGAGACAACACTTGTGGAGAAAGGAGTAGAACTTGGAGTATAAGCACTAGTAAAAATGCTGAAATTATTGAAAATGCTGAAATGCTGGAGACTTGTACAGATGTGTTCTGGTGAGAAGGTGAGTACATAGTACTCTGCAATAATTATATAAGTAGCTAACAATGTAGGAAGATATCATTTTTGAATGCCTAAAAATAGATCAACACTCAAAAAGTAAAAACATATTACAGAGTAATAACACATTACCCTAATTATAGAAAATGTAAGGAACATAGGAAATTACCTTAGGCAAGTCTTGTCTGCAGATTGGACACTCATTCTGCTTGCAAAGTACCCTCATTCGAGTCGAACACTCGAAACAGACGGCATGATCGCAAACACCGATAGAAAATATTTCCACAACTTTGAAGCAAACCACGCAAAGTTCTTCGTTATTACTGGGATTTGTTACATTCGAAGACATATTTCTAATTGTTGAAAGCAATTTCTGTAAAGTACAAAACACAACCTATACATCCACAGCAAATATGGAAAACATCAAGATCAAGAAACGAGGAACGAAACGACAAGTTGACTTGACAAGATGACATGGTAATCAAAATTCAAGGAATTAAACTCAAGGACGAAAATCGTCAAACAATCGATTCGATCACAGGTAGGTGTCTCTCGCCAGTTATAAAAGCTAGAGTGACATAAAAGCATGCTGCTGTGCTGCGGAAAATCCACAGAACTCATATTACTTACGGAAAATCTCAAGTTATCGAAAGACTAGGGTCCCTTGATGTAAACTGACGTATTTGTCATCTTTACAGGGTACGGACAGATCCTCGTCTCCTCTCACTCTAAAGTGTTTGTGAAACAGTTATATACTTCCATCTTTATTCATTTCTGGGGATAAACACTAGATTTTTGGCATTTGTTGTTTTTTAGGTTATATTGAGGTCACTGGCGTATCATACGTAATTTCCATATGGAATTCCTGATTCAACTATACCAAAATATAGATGAACAATCCTCTAGTTATGAGGGCGCCGTACATTATGCTATTTCTCGGCAAGTTTGAGGCAATGCAATTTTCTCGCAATTTTTCTAAATTTATTGCGAGTCGCCGTACATTGAGATATTTCTGTGTCATATTTTCTTGTTCATATTCACTATTTCCAGGTTTTTTGAGCCTTCAATGTACTTTTTGAGGTTATTTGGTGTTTCAGGCCACGTTATGGAGAAAATTAGTATTTTATCAAGATGCTACGATGAATATTACTAAAAATTTTACTAAATAACTTGTCTTGAAATCGCAGGAAAAATAGGACTGGTTCTATTACGAAACCAGCATGAAACTTGCCATGAAATATCATAGACGCATGCGCATTGTTCGATTCAAAATTAAATTGCATCGAACTTGCTGGTAAATAGCATAATGTACGGCGCCCTTTAGAGTTTACTATACTCCAGCATAATTTTCAAGAGGTAGCTAAGGGAACATATGAATTTCACTGAAAGTTCAATATATTTCACCAAAAGAGACTGTTCTTAGGCTGTATACAAGGGTTGACTGAATTGACTGAATGAATTCTGTTTTCGAACTGAGCAGTAGTTTATCTATGAGCTGAATGAGCTGAGCCTTATGATTGAGAAATGGTGGAAACCTCGATGTGAATATCTAAACTACTGTACTCATGTAATGTGTGCTAAATATATTTCCGGAAATACAACTCGAAGAATTTATGGAGTGAATATCAACTATGTATAAAACTTCGTCTAGGACGAGAAGTAGGCTGATAAAAAGTTATTCGTAAAATGTGCAGGGAAATAAAGAATAGAATATACTTCACCTTCATGTTATACATATGATTCTTCCGTCTTCCTTAAATAAAAAGTCATTTTCAAATAATTTATTGATGAAAGTAACAAACAAGTAGGTATACGCAGTATAACTTATAGGCACGTTATTTTCACTCTTGCATCCTACATATTTTTTATTTGTGATAAAGTAGTAATTATATAAACTAATGGATCCGTTATCTTGGCTTTTTCAATTTTGACGGAACAATCATTATCTCTTACCCCGAAAACCGCCAGATATCAATTACGAATAGAATCGGATCTTCATCAGAAAACTTGTTCGCCACATGATCTTCCTCAACAATTAAATACCCTGTACATACCTATTATTAAAATTTCGAATGATTTTCTGTAGCGCCCATGGATGTGACGTGACAGCAATGTCAGGGATGCCAGTAGACAAAACTAAAGTCTCTAGATCATTAGAAAAGAATGCAGCTATGATCTGTCCGTACCCTGTTAAGATGACTTCAATGTCAATTTCCATCAAGGGACCCTATCGAAAGACATGAGCCGTCTTACATTTTGTACTCGCAATATGGAACTTTACGACAAACTCTTACATTAACGGAGAAGAAGATATAGCAAAAAGCCAAATTACACGAATATAAGTATATTTATCGGTTCTACCTTCTAAATTCAATGACTTCACGTTTCGGCACAAAACCATTAATATTCGGCCATGAATTGATTAACCTCCAAGGGCTCCAAGGAAATTACCTTGGAGGCTGTGACGTCACCGCAGATGCCAAATCTCAAGTTCTCGACTTTCCCAATTCGAAGTCTCGAGTTCCCGACTTTCACAACTCGAGATCTCTGGTTCTCGACTGTCGCAACTCGAGATTTTGAGGGATAATGAGAAGTGTCCCTCCTAGAAGTTCCAGAGCTTCGTACCAGAGCTTCATAAAGGGTCATCGAATCATCTATGAAAAAGTATGAAATTTCAACATTCTGTCGTGTAGCGAAGCATGTACGGACCTATGTCCATAGGACATTATCTTCTCTGATTACATCGGATGAGTAGGTACTACAATTACTACATGTGTTAATGGACTGTAGAAGGTAAAAATGGATTCCCTACTCTATTTTTATTTTTGGTCTCTTTTGGTGTACTTACTCCATTCCGAAATTCCCGTTTGTTTGGTTTGATACATTTGTGTTGTATATGGAATCTGGTACAATTTACGGATGATTTTGGTGCAACATATTTTTACGTTGTGGTTGTAGCAACACTGGCAACACTGGAGTAGTGGACTCACGACTCTCGAGTGAGTAGTGAGTGGTGAGCAAGGTCTATTAACTTCTATAGAGTTTAGACCCTACAATTCTGGTATTGATCATGGATCATTTTTCATTTTTTATTCATCAACTAATGATAATAGTATTTGAAGTTTTTTGTTCTTGTTCATCATATCTTTAGTATTGTATTTATCCATGTAATTAGGCTGCAATAGCCTGTATGGGTAATAAATAAATAAATAAATAAATAAATAGAGTTAAATAGCCTTGAGTGGTGAGTAGTAGCAGGTAGCAGCGTCTACTACGATTGGCGTAGTTGAATGTGCGTTTGAATCTCACGTCGGCAACCCGGGATCAATGCCTCTGCGACGGTGGGCTCTGTTTCAATTCTGTTTTCCCAAGTGATTTCCCGAAAAATTCAGTTTTTAGGAAGACAGAAGACAGAACCATTTAGGCCCATTTAGGTTAGATGATTTGAAATAAATAGTATCATGTTTTATGCAGGAGGGATATTTGCCTTCCTCCCTAAAAAAGTACTTTCTTTTCAGGAAGAATAAGGTTCATCTAGGCCGAGTTAGGTTAGATGGTTTATAAAGAGTAGTGTCCTTTTTTATACAGGAGGGATATGTTTTCCTTCATCCCTGAAAAATGTACGTTCATTTTAGGAAGAAGGTTCATTTAGGCAGAGTAATGTTAGATGGTTTGAAAAAAGTAGTGTCCTTTTTTATGCAGGAGGGAGGAATATTTTCTTTCCTTACTGAAAAAAGGACTGTAGAGGCATTTACTGTTGAGAAAGAGTTTTGATAACATTCTTTCCTAGATCATTTCTAGAGTATGAGTTTGTTTTTGAAGAATGGTCTCTTTTCACTTCAATGTGAATTCATGAAGATGCAATTTTCTTCCTTCATCAGTTCAAGATCATTCAAGTACATTTTCCCTCAAAAATAAGCACAATCCGGCAACATTGATATGACTGACACGGGATTACGCGCAGGCTCCGCAGACACAAGACACAAGTGTGGTGAGTGGGAGTTTGGGACAGCAGTCAGGAGGAGTTGACTACTCACTGGTCAGTGTTTTTGTTTTTATTGTCATTATTCCCAATTATTCCATACTTCAAGTTCCAAAATAATAATCATCACAGAAAAGTTGGATATTATCTTTGTTACCTTACTAGGTATTTGTGATTCTACTTATGTGTGCTCATGGATTCTGATTTTCGTGATACAAACTATTGCTGATTATTTTTATCATCCTAACAAGGTAAGCCACTATCCCCTAAATTCCCCTAATCTAGTGATTCCGCTCGTAATTTTTCTTACATTTGTAATTCTTGAACAAATGCTTGAGTGGAGGGTAAGGTACCTTCAAGCCTAAAATCGACTCAACAATCCTCATAATATTCTCAAGCAAGATTATTGTGGAGAGCCTACTAAGTACTATGAACCCAAAGCTGGTAGCTTGATACAGTAATAAGCAACAGTTTAACAGTTAGTCCGGCAATTAGTTCATTACTCAGTCAGTCCATTGTTGGCCAGTTCCAACTTAATTTGAGATTAAAATTGAATGCCATGCTGAAACAGTTGGAACAAAGCCAGTATATTGTGTTTATGAAACTCAGGACTCAGGTGGATCTTGGGGTAGAACTGTAAAACCAAGGGTGGAACTGAAATGTGACCTGAATATTCATTAGTAATCTTCCCAGTATTAGCAACCTCTTTGAATTTTCAAACCTATTGATAATGTGGACTCTTTTAACTCTAAATCTCTTAATCATGTCCACAACATTTGATATCCTCTCGGATATCCTGTTAGGTTACAAAACTGGTACATGTTTCTAACAAAAAAGGTCAAAGAAGAAAACTTGTCATGAGAACTCCTATGAAACAGGCCATATTATCCAGCATATTATATCATATCATATTATTATAAGCTATAAATTATACCATATAGGTAATAGATCAGCACCATTGATCAAAACAAGGATGAATGGAAAACTATAACTCTCTTATTATGGTGCCACTCATGGTGCCATATGTGTACCCTAGAAACGAATCAGTGCTAGATACTATTTGTTTCTGTGTGGCATTGTATTAAATGCCATGACAATGTTCCTCCATTGGCTGATGATTGCCATATGTGTACCCTAGAAACGAATCAGTGCTAGATACTATTTGTTTCTGTGTGGCATTGTATTAAATGCCATGACAATGTTCCTCCATTGGCTGATGATGAATATGAGGATCTAGACAACAATTAATACCTTTGGTTGTCCAGTGCAACAGTGGGTCCTTCTGGTATGTTTGGAGAAATGGAGACTGTGGGAATATCAAAATGTGGGGCCAACAAAATGTGGGCCAATCAAAATGTGGGATCAGCAGTGCACCCCTCCAGAAACACAATTTTATATCATTACATGATTTTATTGATTTGAATCCCATTGAGAAACTCTGGGAAATTCTTGGGACAAGATTACAAGAGGTGGGTAGCTTGAATACTTTGGAAAACGCACGGCAGAGACTCAATGATTCTAATATGGGAAGACCTGGACCAACATATCATAAGGTCTCTTATTATGGGTATAGGCTGTCTTTGCCAAATACTTTTCCGTGCCCGGGGTGGAAATACTCCCTACTGAATATGTGTGAAACCAGCCATGAGTTCCAGCCAGGACTTTGCCAATTATTCAAGGAGCACGCCATACCACCATGTCCTTCATTGCTAATTTATACTCATGGCTGGCCATGAAATTACTAAAACCTGGAAAACATTTCAGTGGATGAAACTCGAGATGAAACTAGTCTCCATCAGTGTATTTCTCTAAGGGTCCTTAATAATCTGTATATCTCTCAATATTTTGTCGGCCAAGAATCAACCCCACAGGCCCCCTTTTTTGGAATTTCGAAAATAAATCATAACTTTTTCAAAATAGAATGTGTTCCTCTATGGTACTTGTTGATGTGTATATCTCACAATATTTTGTCGGGCAAGAATTAACCCTACAGGCCCCATTTTTTGGAATTAAAACAAAAATCATTATATTTTTAAAATGCACATAGATAGGAGTTTGTTTCTATGCATGTGTTCCTCTGATGGTACTTGTAAATGCATATGTCTCACAATCTCACAATTTATGTCGGGCCAGAATGAACCCCACAGGCCTCCTTTTTTGGAATTTCGAAAAAAAAAACAACTCAAAATACATGTGGATGAGAGTTTTTTTCTATTCATGTGTTCCTCTGATGGTACTTGAAAATGTGTATATCCCACAATATTTTGTCGGGCAACTTTTTTTCAAAATACAGGTGGATGAGAGTTTTTTTTATGAATGTGTTCCTCTAATGTTACTTGATAATGTGTTCATCTCAATCTCACAATATTTTGTCTACTAGATTTGAGAGCCATTCTTCTGAATATTGCATCAGAACAGTGCATTCCGGTTAATTATAACAGAGATGGCTATATGTCTTTATTGACTAGTGGTTCATAAAATGACGAAAACAACCTTGTTTTTACACACTTTACGCCTCAAAAAAGGGAAAATAATGGTAGGTATTATAGCTAGTGGTGAAAAAAAAATTGAATTTGATCTGAATCAGATAAAGTATTGTACTTTTTTGGTTTATTCATATCATTAGTACCTATATGTACATTCATTACTTATTTAGTAAAATTAATTTAATTAGAGCATGCCGAAATATCATGCAATTTATAAGTGTGTATGTGATTAACTAATGTTAGGTTAATAATATAGGTAATTATCAAAAAAAGTGTCAAATATTTTTCAGTAGATCAATATGCAAATCAGGAGATCTACCGAAAATTCAGTAGAAGTGGCAACTCTGAAGCGGCAGAAAAGTGTTTGGGTGCTGAACCCCATATGTGAGAACAGTATTCTAGAACTGGCCGTATCTGTGCTTTGTAGATCATGAGAAGCTGATGGGGTGTAAAGTAGATTTCCGCACGGAATAAAAATTCGAGTTTTTTTTGTGAAGCAGCTTTCGCGATGGATCGGTATTGATTATGGAAATACCGAGCATCGATATAGCGGTCATGGTGGGAATGGTGGTACCAGACATTGTTATAGCAGGCATACTGAGTTCCGCCTTTCTAGAGAAAATACAGGCTTGAGTTTTGGTGGCGTTGAATTCAACTAGGTTCATTCAGGACCTGTCATATATGTTACTGACTGTTTCCCAACATTATCTTTCGATAGTCAGCAATTTCAGCAGAAATTCATTCAGGTGGTCAGGTAGCCGCGCGGACGAAGGTCAATATTCTAATCCGCGTTCACTTGCTGGTCGTGGGTTCAATTTCCCGCGACTGCAGAACATTTTCTGATGGCCCAAGGAAGTGTTTGGGATCAAATGTTATAAGGTAAGGCCCCCGTCATTCCTTGCTCGCATAAGTCTCTCGAAGACTTTTCAGGGCTGCTCGTAAGGGAGCAACCGAATGACGGATAGATCCGTTTTTTTTAGAAAGTTGAGTCGAAATATTTAGAATGAATAGTATGTCTGCTCACAAGTATCTGCCACTATCAGTGAATGTTTTTGATTTCTGAATGAAAAATTAGCAGATTCAGTACTGTCAGTTGAATTCGGAATATAGCCTAATAGACATGACTCGATGTCATGAAACTCATGAATGAAAATTTGGGTATTCCTGCACATCGAGCAGAAACGTTTTCAGGCGAGCAATTTGAACGTGGTTTTCGGGTTGCTGGAATATGACATTACATAGCTAGATATCAGTGGTAGGTTCCCATCAATTTTCACTAGTTTCATGTATCATCTCTGTGTGATAAAAGATTCAAAAGTTATTTCAATGTGAACATATACCTATAGGTGATGTTTACCGCGGATTATAATAGTTTCTGAATTTATAGTCGGGCAACACGGTCCAGAAGATCGGAACTTGACCTTTAATGAATTGCCATCAGAAAAAATGTTATCGAATCGTTGGTGGTTTCCTAGAAACGAGTGAAACCTAAGATGAAACCAAATATTATGCCATTGAGAACTGTAACTGTAATAGATAGTCGTGTTGCTCGTCTGTAAAGAACAATGACACTTGCTCGATGTAATTCAACTTCCGTCAGCGTTAAGACAAAGACACTCGATTCCTCAACCTGCTACCTGTTTTAGTATATGAATACTAACCGTTCCCTGTTTCACAGTATGAATATCAACCTTTACATTTAGAATCGTCATAATTGCGGTATAAAAGCTCGTGTATCACTATGCATTTTCTTGTATGATATCAAGTGTTCATCTCGAACGAATCTCGAAATACTGTACCGATGAATAGGTATAGACTATGTTCCGAATTCAACTGTCAGTACTGAATCTGATGATTTTCCATTCCGAAATCAACAAACGCTATATTCCGAATTGAACTGGCCGGTACTGTCAGTAAATCCACTGACTATGCTGAAAATCTGTGTTCCGAAATATAAAATCTAAAATATTGTGCTGTAATTCGGAACACGTTTTTATGGCTTTCATAAGTAATCAGCAGCAGTTGATCAGCTGGTGAAATTTAAATTTTATTCTCAGCGTCAATCATTTTAATAACAGTACAGTAAATATTTGTTTTCATTCAGGTTTCCATGTTATTTCATCAAAAGTTCAGTGGTCATTGTGATATTTTTCGAGTTTAAATTCTTCAGTAGTATCTTGGGCTAGATCAACTGAGTTATTCACACATACATCCAGTATTGAGGACTTTTTCTCTTTTATAAACACACTAGCAGACCTCGCAAACGATGTTTTGCTATATGCATTATTTCTAAAATATATTTTTTCAGTTCAATATTCATCAAGGCACTATTATTATTTTATTTTCTACTTCTTTTTAGTTTCGCTATCTATAAAAGCGTGTTTCTTCAGTTTTTCAAACTACCATTTATTTCAACTCCTTTTTAGTTCACTTGATTTCCCAATTTTGACGAAAGAATCATAATATACGACTCCTAAAAGCCCAGATGAAAATTTTGAATAGAATCGGAACAATTACAATACTTGTCCGCAATATTTGATCTACCATCTCGAATTCCCTAATTTTGACGAAGGAATCATAAGTTTTGATCCCGAAAACGCCCACTTACAAAATAGAATCGGTATATAATTACAAAACTCGTCCGGTATATTGGTTCCACCGTCTTGAATTTCCAAATCCCGCCCTTTCCAAATCTTGACAAAAGAATATAATCTCCGACCCCGAAAACACCCAGATAACAATTTTGAAGAGAGTCCGATCATAAT